GCTAAAAATTTAGTGTGATAAATGGAAAGAGAAAAAAGGAGTAGTTTTTTCTTTTTTATTCACGAATGGAGTTAATAAATGTCCAGATAATGTAATGTTATGTTTTTCAAACAATTAAAGGGTATTGGTATAGAAGTAAAAAGAAGGAAAATTATATGCAATCTTATAAAACTTACGAAGGTCTTGGTGTAATTTGCACTGACTCGGTAGACAATAACTAGTAACACACATCATCACTTTAAATATAAAACAATATTATGCGACAGGAGAAATTATAACATTAATGTTGATTGGCTTAAAGTTAGTAGTACAAATTTGGTTTGCACAAAATCATAATAGTTGGAATTATGACAGTGATGCTTTCACGTACCAAACGTGTCATGTGTGAGAGTTAGACGCAAGTTAAACAGTCTCTTTCACTTCTATTAAACATGCTTATATCATGTCTTTTTCTGCTCTACTGTTCGAAATTAGAGAGGCAGTTTGTAGTTATAGGGTTGTAGTATTATTTGACAAGGACAACAACGATCAATAATTGTTTAGATAAATTTACGATAAATTTTAATATTATTTTAAGAAAGAAAATAAGAAATTGATTACTCCCCACTTATGTTTGAAAGTGGGAAACATAATAACTTCAATAATAATCAATAGTTATTAAAATAAACTCATATTATTAATATAATTATCTTATTAACCAATGTGAAATCTAGATATACCTTGAGAAATAGAACAGGTAGGTCTCCGCGACTTTTGGCCTCAGGGAGGGTGTGAAGCTCCAAAACATTGGTAAGAAAAGCCACCCTTCCTTGTGTAGAACAAGCCAACCATGTTCCCATTGCTATTTCGTCTCTTCCTCCCAAAATATCACAATCTTCCCACCATGACACTGGCTTCGTAGGCCTTCATCCAAAATAATCATCATGTAAGCTATACACATTGTCAAAAAAATAAAACACAAGAAGAAGAAAGCTTGCCTATTGTGATATTCATCTCTGTTGTTCAAAAGGAGAAAAGGGTACATTGGGTGGCATTGCCAAAGAAACAAAGCTATACACATTGTTCACAAAGGGTGGGATTGAACAATGTATTTTACCCTCAAAGCTTCCACCGATAAAGCAACAACGAAACTTTCATACATATATTGTTAGTTTTGTAAGTGATGGAATGGCTTTATAGGCTACCAATGGTAAGTTGGCATTTTTCATCTATTCATTTCTTTAATTAAAGCATGAAGCTAATTTTAATGCAGCGCCGTTACACAACTAACGTTATAGCATTTATGATTGAGGTGGAGGCATAACAAAGAATTATCTTCGCAAGCAACCGATTAGTTTGGTCACACATCTTAAAATTCCTTAATTGAATCGTGGAGTCTTTAATTGCTAGCTGCTTTATGTCCTTTCTCCCAACTGTGAACTCTATAAGTTAGGAAGTTATAGATTCAAAACAAAATGTGGGGGCTCAAAGGAGATTATTAAGTGCGCACAAAATAATTAAAAAAATCATTCAAAATCTATTCTCGACAACTTTCAAGTTTTACCAACCTTATCTCGTGAATGAGTCGTTTCCGTAAATCGCTCTCTAAAGTTGAAGCATAAAAGATGACAGCGTAACTGTACATGCTACTATGCAAGCTAGCATGTTAATTAGTTGCTAGCATTCATCCGAATCAAACTTGTATTAAATATTGGTGGACACTCCTTGAGAGTAGACAATGAAATAGGAAATCAAGGCATCTATCTCATTTAGTTGAATAAGTTAGATGAATTGTTGGAAATTCTCTGGTTATCAAATTCGATTCCAATAAATAAAAAAAAGTAACTGAAATAGAAAGAGTAAAGAAATAAGTAATTAACAATTTAATATAATTAGTGATATAATAAAAAAAACGTAAAGTATTTTTACTATTAAAGTGACTAAAATTGTGTTCTTAATTTTTTGGCTATCTCCAAAACCCAAGTACTTAATTTGCTTTGTTACGTTGTTTGAGAACTTGAGTTCAGATGATAGTACCCTTTTTTTGTCGGCAAGGGAGGCACTTGATAGCAATGAAGCGAATTAAAAGGCATAAAACCTGCATTGTAAGATTTTCTTAATTTGGAAATATTGAATGGATGGTGGATGTAGATGTACATACATGTTTACGTTATCCAGTGTAAAGTTCATAATTCGTTGTTTTAATTTAGTGGCTGAGATGGGCATGTTGAATTTAATACAGCTATAATTAGGACAGCTCTTCACTCCTACTCCTGCATGAAGTTTCGGCAAGTCCTATTATTAGCCACCGTATTCGGAATTGAGCAAGAAAAAGTTAATCAAATGGCAATAGGGTAGGAAAAGCCCACTAAAGATTAAGTGAGACAAATAATTTTTGAAAGAGATTTCTTTATATAAGAGTTATATGGTGGGTTTTTCTTATTCATATATTTTTTTACATGTTAGAATTTTTTATAAATTTTAGAATTATAATCGATTATGAATTTTGTTTTTGTCAAAAATAACTATTATTATGATTTATTTGATAATAATTAAACTCACTAATAATATGATGATATATATATAATGGATCTTGAACACTTAATTCTTATTTGTGTAGAAAACAATATAGGCATAATAATAAGAACATAATAAGATACCAATGAGGTCAGTATAATAACACATTCATCGTTGGATATAATGCATAAACTAAGGTTACAACCTTAGTCTAAATCACAAATAGGTTAATTCTTAACCACACGATAAGTTCATAAAATTGTCCCCTTTGAGTAGTAATAATCTCACCTAAAAATATATAGTTAAGATAAAACATTAATGCATCGGAATATAATACAAGACAAGATATAACTTAAAGAGAAATAAACTAACATTATGAGGCCAAAATAATAAGACATTCACCTCAATCCAATACCTTTTTTTAGTATTTTGTTTTCTAAAAAATAATTCATAACAATTAAATATTCATTCAAAAAAACTTAATAACTATATATTGTATAAATTATATCTAAATACTTGATTAGTTGTTGAATGACATGATGAGAACATGGGAAATATGAATTGTTATGGTGTGCTTGGTAATTAGTGGGAGTATGAGTTATGTGTGCCTTCTGTTATATTGATAAATCTTTTGATTTTGGATCTTTGGTGACATTTTCATGTAATATATATATTTGTCACGCATGCACATGAAACATGATAAATTTTTTAAGCTTAGTGTCATTAAGATCAATATACTGGCGGTCAACACCATGTTGAAGCTGAGGCATAATTCTTTTTAAGCTCAATGCCGATGGAACCACTATATTGATGGTTGACATAGTTGGAGCTGAGACATAATATTTTAAGCCCGATGTCATTAGAATCATTATGTCAGTAGTTGACACCATATTGGAGATGAGATATTATTTGAAGCTTGGTGTTATTAGAACCTCTGTATTAGTGGTTGATCCCATGTTGGAGTTGAGATAGGTTTATTTTTTAAGGCTTAGTGTCATAAATAAGGACTATTATGCATGTAGTCGATGACACTTTGGAGTTGAGACTTGATGGTAAACTGTGTAATTTTTCTAGCTTTCAGACATTGGAGAGAAATTGAAGACTAATAGAGAAAATGATAATGTGGCTATTTGATTTCATTGGCATGTCATTTTTTTGTTATACTCCACATTGATGATTAGTCGACGTAGTCAATAATATTTATAATCATGGAAGGTGTTGCATCAATAAGGGATGTAGTTGTTGCTATGGTTCAACATTGCATGAATTTTATTGGATAGAGTCTTAATTATGTGTTATATCTTGGGATCGTATATTTTGTGGTCACAATGGGTTATTAGCCTAAGAGTTGCTTTCAAAAAAATTTCAAAGTTATAAACTATACAATTGATTTTATTGCAAGTGGAGAATGTTAGAACTTTCTATAAATTCTTGTGGGCTAAAATCAATTGTAAATTTTGTTTTGCCAAAAATGAACTAATATTATGATTTGTTTGATAATACTTATGTCCACTAATAATGTGATCAAATATATAACAGGCCTTAAAAACTTAATTCTGATTTTGTTTTGAAAACAATGTAGGCCTTAACCTCAAGGCTCATGATGGGAGGTGCCTATATATGCTTAATTAAATAGTGTGGCTAAGTCCCCTTTGTCATCATCATAACTAAGCTCACTACATTTATCCTATTGAAAATCTAGAATATTGGAGCATATGATTAGATAAAGAAAGATTTGACTTCTTGATTTTAAAGGTTCATGCAACGCATAAAAAGTGAATTGAAAGCGCATCCAATTATATCTTCGATAAGTGTATAGTTTAAATTAGTATTCTAAATGCATATAAAATATGATCTTCATGACATGTTTTTCTTACATTATAAAAATTAATAATAATAAATTTTTGTCAATAGACCTAAAATTTAAATTTTAATAACCTTATTCTTAAGTCGACTAATTAATAATTTATTCTTTTGATAATTACGTAAATAAATTTTGATCAACTTTGAGGAACGAGTTTAATTTAGATGAAACTTATTTCTTTAAAATTAAACTTTGGATAAAAATATTATTTTAATCATTAAAAGCTCATACATTGATATGGAATGCTTTTATGCTCAAAGATGACTTAAGAAAAGGTAATTACTAAATGCATTCTTCCAAATTTTATTGTTTATTTCCTTGGCCACAAACTTCTTTTTGCTCTCTCTACTTAATCATTAACCGAGGATGGATTGTTTGTTTCGGTTGGTGCATGAGTTGTTTTGTTTAGAGTGTTAAGCATTGTCTTTGAATGGTGAACTTAGTTGCATATGAGCCGGGAATGGTTAGATTAAGTGGTGATGATTGTTGTCTCTTCTATAACATCATACACATATAAAAGATTAATATATATATATATAAAGTTGTTGTCACTTGATCGAACTGTTACAAGTACATACAACAACCAAGCTGCCAAGTGCCAAGTCTCCAAAAACACCAATGCTTGCGGCCACTATTATTAAGTTACCTCCATCATCTTAATTACGTCTAGCAATGGTGGCAAACCTACCAAGTAGAACAATTCATGCACTACCCCACGCAAGTAATCCATCCTCTATTAATGAGTAATAAAGTACAAATTAAAAGCAAGAAGGAGTTTATGACTAAGGAATGAAGTGAGAGTCGCATAAAGAGCGTGAGAGGATAAGAAATTAATGAGCTAATATTTTAACACATTTCAAAAATTATAATGTTTTAAATACATTTCATAAGCTAACTTCTAAAACATATACTCGTTCACAAAAATACCTTTTCAAAATGAGGAAACCTTTGTGGAAATATACCAAAGGAAAAAGGTCAAAGGGGATTGTGTTTAGCAATTGGAAAATGCATTTAGCAATTGTCCTAACAAATTATTTGATTCAACGCTTATCTGTTTCATCATTGAATTCCATTGAAAAAACATTACAATTTGGGAATAGTATAAAACAAATACACTATTAAGGTTCGTTTGAGAAAACAATTTAGTTAAAATCTTATTTAATAAACTCTTATATAATAAAAATTTATGTTATAAGTGTTTAAAATTCAATAAGTTATTGCATTTATATAGTTGATGGAGGAAAAGTGAAAAAAAATAAAAAAGAATAAAAATTTTGGAGGAAAAAATGAAAACTTTTGAAGGGAGTAGTGAGAAAAATATAAAACTGATATTTAATTAAAAATAAATAAAATTATTTATGTGGGTGACAGATCTAAACATGAATATTTTTTAATAAACTCTCATATAAACTAATAAGTTATACCTCATAATTCATTAAAATAAGTTCAAAGCATTTCTATAAGATCTTTTATAATGAATTTTTCAAACAGTCTTATAAATATTTATAAAATA